GGCCACTCTTGAGAGTGGCATGGAGACCTCACTGACTCAGCCGCATCGCTACGGAGGCTCCTTTTACTCATCTCCTTGTTTTCTCTGTATGAATTGTTGTTCAACTTGTGCGCTATTTGGAGAGGTCAAGAGGCTCATCTTGTAGTCAATGGGTTTCACTTGCATGTGCGAAATTTGGATAATAAAACCGTGTGAGCGCACCAACATGAAACTTGGAGTTTATGGGGTGGTTTTTATACAACATATCAAACTTTACCATAGGCAACACTGAGGGCCTAATCCAATTGGAATGTTATTCGTACCCTTATTTTGGAATCCACATACGACATGGTATACACTTGGAAATACAGTACATGTTAATTATTCGTTGCGTGTATATTGGTTTATTACTGACGTATTGGTGTTATAGTGCAACTATATTGGTTTGCTATTGCCTCTCTACTGGGTTTGTAATGCTCTTCATTGGTTTTCTAATGCATGATATTGCACGTATATTGGCATTGCAATGTAACCTGTGCATTATTTTCGGTTGGTACTGCTATTCTAAATTGTTTGTTTTATACTGTCTTCCGTATTGGTTTTGCAATGTCATTTGACAAGTGTACAAAGTTGAACTATGTGGAAGGTAATTATGTTATAATTCGGATCTGAAATGAATGCATCCAAATTACATCAACTGCTGTTTTAAAACTTCCAGCATACTTGATACAAAGAAGGCAACATGAATAATCAGAATACAAAGGCCTCCTCAAACAGGCAGAATACAAAATAAAATAACATCCCAGTGTGAACTTACATAAAACAAAATATTAGAAAAACAAAACAACACAAAAGGTGACCACAAACTTACTTAATACAATGTTAACAAAGATGGCACCTGAAGATTACATTATACATATCAAAACAAGAGGCCCCCTCAAACTTACCTAATACAAAATAAATACATAAACATGATTTTCATCCGCACATAATACAAAAAGAGGCCAAGTCATACTTTCATTCCACTGTACAAAGTTTGTCCTAAACCGTTGACATGGTCATATTACAAGTCATGCATTCTGTCTGTGGACACATTTCGAGTTGCATACCCTTCAAATGCGGCGACCGCGACCCATTAAATTCATGACCCCTCCCACAGTGATGTCCCACTTTCCTTCTGCATCCACAATTTTTGCAAACTTCCTAAATAGTTCGAAACTAGATTGCAGTTGTTTTTGCTTCAGCTGAGCCATTTCGTCAGATTCCTTGAATACAATAACTGTAGTGGCAGGGGTATTTTCAATTTTAGCTCTGACAGCCTTTATATGTAGGAGATGCATCCGGGCTTCATAACGTGCCCGAATTGTGCGGTTTTTTTATGATAACCCACCTAGCTTGGCCCTCTTTAATTTTTAACACTATGTTTGCATAGAGATTTTTCCAGAACATGGTATTGGCTCGACATTGCTGCAGTCTATGGACCCAGTCTTCAGTGTCTTTTGTTGCTGATTTGGCAGGTTTGTCATTGTCCCCTCCTTCAGTAATGGCAAGGGTTGGGTTTGGTGTGGGGTTTCGGTCCATGGGTGTTGGGTATTTACTGCGGGTTGGTGTGGGCATTAGCTTGACCAAACTGGAAGTAATTGTGATGTGGGTGAAATTGTTGCGCTAGCAGGGGGTTTGACAGAGTAAATGTGATGGAAATGTTGGGTGGATGCAGCTGGGTTACAATTAAATGGTGGGAGGTAATAATGAGTAGGAGTAAATAACAGTCAGCAACTAGCGGGAGTTATTGGCGGGAGTTGTTGGCTCCAATTTTTGGCGGAATGGTTGGCTCCAATTGTTGGCCAACACGTTACACTTGGGGTTTGTGTAATTAGGTTATTGGTTGGTGTTTGTTGTATGGGACCGTTGTTGTATTTGCAAATTATTCCTATTGTCCTCTTTGACCAATTTCCCTCGTGTATGAGGTACAAATGTCCCAAAAGTACAAAATGTCCGAAATTTATAAGTACGATCATTTCACAAAGTACAAATACAGATGTTTATAAAAAAGGACCATGAAAGTATATGTGTTTCGAATTTCTTTGTTGCTGTCTTCCAAATAACGGATGTAGATGAGTTCCATTTTTTAATATATTGGTAAAATCCGAATTGTGAATTTTGATACTTGCAAATAAGTTCATGTGTATTCCGCCCACTTGACGTTAACTTCCCCTTGAAATGTGGGTCGGGACTGTATATGACTGTTTTCGTGTAATTTAATTTTCTCATATAGACAAAATATAGTCTCGTCATTTGTAGGGAATACTTAATAATTTATAAACATTTCTGTATATTTCGTAAATTGATAATTAGGGAACTTGGTCGTCATTTGTAGTATTCCTATGTCAGGACCTTGAATATTAAGATAGTATACAGTTTTTTAGTAAGGTTGTGTTTATTGTGTATTCACAGTTGTTTAGGTGTGTATATTTGTACGGCCAATTATTCCACCGTTGACATACCTTTATTCGTATTTGGTAAGGCTGTAATGGGCATCTTACAATGCTCTCATTAATTACAAAGAGGACAGGGTGCAGACTGACCCGTAATGACCAATTTGAAATAAATATAAAACGCACAACTTCCTCTATATAAGAGGGTTTAACGTACTCATTGAATTCCACATCAAACATAGTTCTCCATATATAGCAGAGAGCAAAGCTATACTAAAGCTCACCCTATTGTTGGTTATGAAGAAAAAAAACTGTAGACTGAACCTAATGTTAAGTGTTTTGCACGGTGCATGTGTGCAATTTCGCCATCCATAGTTGAAGATGTCAGACGTAATCCCTCCAAACGACCATGGCAGTTACCCGGGAGACCAGCCATGGCATGTCCCTTTCCCATCTCCACCTGGGACTCCAAATAACGATCCCACGTCATCTGGAAGTGAGGCTGACAACAATGATCCACTAGACAAAATTGCTGAAGTGAAGCAGGACCTCCAATATTTATGTGCGGCTAAGGATTGGTGGGAAACGAAATGTGATATTCATTGCCAGGTGATGGGAAACTTGACGAACAAGCTGAACAA